TTGTATAAGTTCTTATTTGGACCACATGGTTACAGTTCTCTGTGTTACCTGGAGTTAAAAGAAACCAAAGAACTTAAGATATCATTAGTTTATTTGCTATATAATGCGAAAATGCTGGAATTCTTTGAAATTTAATTCACTGAAAAGTAAACTACCAAAGAGAGGAATCAAGTTATCTATTCGTGAACAGACTTAACATGAACACTAATGTCTCACCTGAGTGTTGGGTCTCTAAAGATATCTTACCTGGCCAACATTCTGCACGCTATTGATGTAAATAATTAAATTTATAAGGGCTTTTGGATGTTGAAGAGCCTTAAATAGCTCATTCAGCTAGTCATCTCAAACAGTGTGATCCAAACTATTTATTTTTTGCATTCCCTTCTAACATTGATGTATGGGAGTCATCTATTAATCTTTTAATCAGTAAATTGCAGCTTTATGGAATTTGCAGTTGAGTTTCTCATTTCATTACCATACAATACAAGGGTTAACAAGCATGAGTGCTATAGTTTGGAAACTTAAACAAAATACTTGCATAGGAGTATTTTTTTAAAATAAGTGGCTGAAGTTGATCTATAACTAAATCCAATACTCAAATCGGTTTCTTGATATAGTGCCAAATAATATGTAATACACCGAGGAAAAAAATTGAATTCTGATTTTAGTGGTAATTGAACAAAATTTAGAGTTTGAAGTTTCTTTCACTTGCTATATATTAAGCTAGAAATTCACAATGTATATTTTTTCCTACAAGTAGCTCTTTTAGTCTCTCTTTTTTTTTTTGGTAGAAAATATGCTTACCTGAAATGAAAACCATAGTTGATTTGGTCACTTAGACTTTCCACAGAAACATTAAGCAACTAAAGTATTATCCTTGAAGATGCTTAAAATGGTCCTGTTCATCTTTTAAGTCTTGAAGAGTACAGGGGAATCAGTGATACTATAGAAACTTGTTAAATATATGAATCAGTCCCATTGTTTTCCACAATGCCAGTGTGGTCAATTCGCCCCATTCCAGCACATTTGGATTTAGGATAGGAGATAAAAAGTAGGCAATGAAGTTGGAATCATTTCTGGTCAAATGGTCTATCACAGAAGCAACAAATCTTGAAAGCATAGACAAGAATTCGGGTTCGTTTTGTTCCATACTTCCATTGGTTTCCTTTGATTCTCTCTAGTGCGCACTGGTGGTCCAGAATGGATGCTGAAGCATCAGTGGTCAAAATACGGTGCAGAATCACACAAGTTTTTCCTTATTTCGTTTTCAAACTCCTGCTAAGATGACCTTGAAACAAGCCAGAGGGAAGTGCATAAATAACTTCTAATGATGCAATGCAAGTTCAGGACGGATGGTATGTGTCTGTGCTCCAAAAAGGAGCTGTTATTTGCTATGTGACATGATGTTAAAAATGAATGAGGCCGGTTAAAAATTATTGTTTGTGAACCAAGTCAAGCTGCTGGGAATTCCAAATTTCACTTGAATACGAAAATTCATGCTTCTTTTTCTTTTTCTTCTCCTGTTTCCTTCTATATCATTATTCAGGATGGTCTAAGCTGATATAGGTTGTATTCTTGTGTTATTCATAACAGGGAAGAGGCCCCCTTCCTGCAGGGGGTAGTGGGGGTGGAGCCGCCGCTACCGCCGCTGCTGCTTTTGGCGGTGCTCCTAATGTTGGAGCTCAATCTGGACTCTCACCTAACACTGGTTATGATGCACAAAGAGCTGCTGGTGGACCTGGTTATGATATACAGCGAGTAGCTGGTGGACCTAGCTATGATTCGCAGAGAGGAGCCGGTGGACCTGGATATGATGCACAGAAAGGACCTGGATATGATGTGCATAGAGGACCCAGTTACGATATGCAGAGGGGACCCGGCTACGATGTGCAGAGGGCACCTGGCTACGATGCACAGAAGGGACCTGGATATGACGTCCAGACGGTACCTGGCTACGATGCGCAGAGGGGACCCAGCTATGATGTACAGAGAGGATCCAGTTATGACACCCATAAACTTACTGGTTATGATGGACAGAGAGGACCCGTTTATGATGCACAGAGTGGACCTGGATATGAGACACAAAGAGGACCAGGTTATGATCCACAGAGAGGACCCAATTATGATACCTCAAAGGGAACTGGCTATGATGCATCATCCAGAGGTGCTGTTGGACCTCAAGGTCAGGTAGCACCTGCAAACAACGCACTTTATGGATCTGCAACAATGCCTACTCTCGCTGGAAGTGGTTATGAGGCAGCACCACGAGGCGGGAACCCTGTTCGTAGATGAGCTGGAGACGCCGCTCAGTTTATCTTCTTAGATATTTATTGGAGGAGTGCCCGTCGGAATTTGCATCTCTTTCATTTGCTCGTTGGAGATGTTCTACCTGGCATGTTGAATTATGATCAAGGTGTTGACAGAAGTTCTACATTTATGGAGTAATATGGGGATGAAAGTAATTAATTCATGCCATGTTTGGAAGACAATAACAATTTGTAATTGGAAGTGGAAGCTTTTGTCTTTTGCACGGCCTTTTGCATTCTCGTTGGTACTACACTTGATGCATCTATTGTTACATTTGCTGAGGATTTGTATTGGGATATTACTTTCTGTAGCCTGCCCACTCGATTAGTTAAAATTTCCATTGATGAGAAATGGATCAGAAGTCGAATGCCTTGCTTGTTCCCAATTTTCCTTGCCTTAGGATGGGTTGGCAACCCACTAGAGTATGCTTTGTACAATGATTCATACAATCCGAAAATTCCCAGAAAATATATAATCTCACAATTGAAAATGTATAATTCTTCTGGTACTAGTAGTGTGTTAGTCAATATATGGGCATAGAGGGCATTTTTGTAAGTTTAGCAAAATATCAGGAATCAAATTTGAGGGTAATTTGATTTTGAATGGGGTTATTTCCACCTTTTAAATCTTTTTTTCACCTGATTTAATTTTTTTTGTTTCAAACTATTTAAGTTCATTCAATCTATACCTACTTATTAGTTATTAAATTCACTCCATCTTTATTTATTAATTAAAAATAAATTTATTCAATATTATTTCAACCTTCTATATATGTAATAATCAAAAAAAAAATAATTTTGGTACATAAATATTACAAAAATAAGGTGGGATTCAATCCCGGCTATTGAGCCCCTTTACCGAGAATCAGACAGCCTCTCCTTGGGGCCAAACACTTCATTCCTCTTTTTCTTCATTAATAAAAAATGAATAATTTATTTTTAAAAATATTAGTCAAAATATACTAAAATATTTTTAAACATCTCAAAATATTCCAAAAATATTGGTGAAAATATATCAAAAATTTTCGAAATATTCTAGATCACCTTGAAATATTGAAATTTTGCTTCAATTAATAATTTTGTTTCGATTTCTTTGAAATATATATTTAACAGTTTAATTGGATGAGATAAATGGGATGAATTTAGTCATTAATGAGGTGGATATAGATGAAATAGACTTAGTAGTTTGAAGTAAAATAATTAAATGGAGTGGGAAATGAAATTTAAAAGATGGAAATAACCCCACCATTTGATTTTTCAGGAATTCAGTTGCTTCTTCCTATAAGGTCTTATTGATAGGGTGAGATTCGAAACTGAGTTTGATGCCAAAATATACATTTTCATTCAATCAAAACAAGAAAAAACCCCTGTTTTTTACAGAGTAAAATCACCTTATTTCTATCCTAATCTCTTTGAGTATGATTTGCATAACTTGCTTTGGAGTTGATGTAATCCAATAGGGGCGGAAGAGTGCCTACTGCCTAGTTTGAATTGCATAACCAGCGTGTGTGCTACTGAATTACAGGATCTATTTATAAATCTGTATCTAACATTGGATAATTGCATTGCATATTATCATATATCCTGTTGGTGCCTAATAACCTTCATCCTCTTCTAGTCTACAGGCTCTTCTCATTGGGCATGCTTCAACGACTAATGGTGAGGATACAATAATCCCTATAGAAGCTCCATTAATCAATCGTCCCTCGTGGTTGTGTCCCATTATTATATATGATACATTCCTATTCTCCCTAGAATAGGCTTTATCGTAATTAATCTTGGCCCAGCCCCTCAATGGGAGAGTCTATGAAGTATCGGATTCAATTATAAATATAATATTGTCTTTTTCTGCACTTAATTGAGTTACAAGCATTTTTTTTTAACACGGAGATTAAATTATAATTTAATTAAAATAAATTATGATTAAAAAGTCAGAATTAATCTCAAAAATATTAAGACTGCTCTATAATAATCTATTCTTATTAGATTAAATTATAAATTCTTCTTTATTTTTAAAATTTTGGTATAGTATCCAAAAAGAAGAGGGTTAGTATTATATTTCATACTCAAGGACCTCCTGTTGATTGACAAACATCAGGGGCTTGGTTGTAAATACACCCTTAAGAAATTGTTATTTTGACCCGACCCGTGCGCATGTAAAGTGTAAAGCCCTGGCCCTGAGCCACTGTCAATCAGCAACAATTCAAAATTTTCACTTTCCCGGCATAGGTCTGTACACACAGCTTTCATGGAAGACGATTCGCTACGACAGCAATGCAAAGGTCAACTCTCTCTCTCTCTCTCTCTCTCCTCTCTCTCTCTCTCTCTCTCTCTCTCTCTCTCTCCTCTCTCTCTCTCTCCTCTCTCTCTCTCTCTGTGTATATATATAAATATATATATGTGTATGTGTGTGTGTGGGCGTTTAATACAGACAGATTTTTTTCAGCGAATGCACTCAAATGAATCGATAATAATCTATATTTGGGTTTCCCTAATTGAAAAGCTAATAATCTTTTGAACGTACAGGGGCCGGACGTTTCTCCCTCAAAGGCATGGAATCGGTTGTAGCCACAGTCAGTGGATACCACGGATCCGAGCGGTTCAAGCTCATCAAACTGATATCTCATACTGGCGCAAGCTATGTCGGTGCTATGAATCAATCCACGACACATTTGGTGTGTTTTTGGTAATCCGAAGTCGTTTGTTTGTTTGGAGGTTGTTGATTTTATATTTATCTTTTATTGAGTGAGTGATGTTTCGAATTGATTAATGATTAGGTTTGTTGGAAATTTAACGGGAGGAAATACGAGCTTGCGAGGAAGTTCAAGATGGTTATAGTTAACCATCGATGGGTTGAAGATTGTATAAAAGAAGGAAGACGTGTACCAGAGTATCCATATCTTTCCCGATGGTATGATGAATTGGAAATATGGATATTTGTTTACAGGCTTTCATGTACAAGCATGCTGGTTTTCTTAGTGTAAGACTTTGTGGTTGGTGAGATCTATGTGTAGTTTCAATTAGAAGAAATTAATTAATGAATAACAATACATCTCGGAGACCTGGCCTTTATCTGGTCGCACAAACGCAATTTAGCTTTGTAAGATAAGGTGTGAACATCTGTGATGGGTTGAATATGTATATCTTTTTGTTGGGTTAATAACAGCTTGGTAAATTCTGTGTGATTGGTTGTGTAGTTTTTTGAATTTTGATTTTTTTGCAGCGGGCAGGAAGTTGGGCCCTTACTGTTGGATATTCCACTTGTTGCTGCTAAAGCAAGCTTTTGCATCGGCAATCCAATGTATGCGTCAAGTTTAAAGAACCTGTGATAGACATTGACTATGAAGAGATTGACCATGCTGATTGGATAGATTCTAGTTTGTTAAATAAGGTAACAACCAAATTCTTAGAAATAAATGTGAAGAGATACTTCTCTTTCCCCATATATTTTTTTGAAGCTGATTTGATGCCGAAGGATGGGAAATGGGAATTGTTTTCTGGCTTCGTTTAGATGGGTTCCCATTTTTCTTGTTACTTTTTCTTATGTTACCATCTGTCCCCCCCTGGAGGTGTTGTCGTAGCAAAAGCGTGGAATGAAAGGCTTCTTTGTGTTGAGTGCTTTTTTGCCTAATAAAATGCTGGCTCTCTGTCCGGCAAAGTTGGGTGTTATCTTCTCCATCCTAGTTTATTGGGTCATCTATGCATATATCAAAACTGATATACTCCAGTGAGGCATGGGAATTTCATACCTTTTGGATTAGCCGCAATTTTTTGTGCTTGTAGAGGTAGATGCCTTATGGGTTAGTCATTTCATTACATTATGCGGGATGTGCTAAGCCAAAGATGTTGATATTGTGTGATGAATTGCATCCAACTATTTCTAAGTTTTGAATTATGGATGGGCAAGGAACAGCACTTGGTGAGGTTTAGATTTTCGATTTAGAGCTGATGTTGTTTCCAAATTCCTGGAAATACCTCCATCTCTTATTCTTTTGCATTGATTCAAGAAATAGGTTCGAAAGCATAAAGTACTGTGGTCACTTCGAAAATTTATAGATTCAACAGTGGAAACGTTCTATTGGATATTGGTGTACAGGGAACAGAAGAACCATGAAACTTTTTAGATACATCTTTTGCCAGGTTCTGTTGTCTATGTGTATAGTAGGGAGAAGTACTACATGACAACTCTTTTGTGGCCTCTATTGTGTGATTTACTGAAGTGGACTGTAACTTTTGGCAGATAGACTAGAGGCCACAAGGACCATCATAGAGATATGCTGTTGGCTTTTCTCTCTGTTCAAGTTTAGAGTGTAAAAGTCACCTTTTGTATTGGACTAGGCTATGTCTAAGTTTTTTGTGCTTATTGATGATATGACCCTTACTCAGCTGTTCTCCTGAAAAAAGTCATCAGTGGTCTAGTGGGACGTTCCAAACTTTGTGTAATAAAGGTTGGGCAAACACCTTTGCGGATAACATAATAATAATGTCTTAAGTGGTTATTGGTAGGCCTAATTGTGTTGAGCACCCACTGCATGTTGATCTTATGTGAGCTACACCTGCTGAACAAAATGCATTGCGATTTTCTTTTCTGTGGATGCCCAGAGTATGACCTGGGAGGGGAAGAGAAAAACTTTTTTCTCCAGCGAGCTTTCTCTCATAAATCCAAAGAATCCAAAGAGGCCATAGACCCATTCCAATTGGATCTTTTTCACATGCTACTTAGGGCCTAGGATATAAATCTACAATGTTTCAGAAGTTTCTTCATCTTGCAGCTCATTGTGCTACTGTTTTCCAACTGGAGTTCAGCTATTGGATTACAGGGAATTTCAGTTATCAATAAGTTATGCATCCTTGAAATTCTTTTGTTATCTCATTTTCTAAAAGGCACATACATGCTTTAAGTTAAAGAAAGACTTCATTAGCTTGAAGCCCTATTGGTCCTTTTCATCGAAACAATTTCTGGGGTTTGGATGTTTTATTTGTTGTGACCAAAAAAACCCTAGAAAATATTTGCCACTTGTTTTCTGCTGTGGTCTATTTGTTTCTATTTTTTTAGACTAATGTTTCCCTAGCTCATCCATTTCTTCCCTGATGTCCTATGGCTGTGTTAATGTTTGTTCTTTGAGTTCATTTTTACAGTTTGCAAAAAGCGTCCCCCCTCTTAAGAAATTTTGCATATTCAGTATTTGGTTCTGTCAGGGCCTATGCTGCATTTAACATTTCTTGTTGCAATTGAAAATTTTTCCTGTCCTTTCCTGTTAAATTGTCTGAAGAATTTCTTCCTCTACATGTTTGATGGGACAGAAGAGGAGCATCACTCCTTCAGCTGAACCTTCTCGCAAAAGCCGTAGGCTGGTGAAAAGGAGCACAACTAGGGATATTTTGAAGTCTTTTTCAGATTCTGAGCAAGAGTGCCACCCAAAACCATTTCGTCACCAGCAGAATGAGATTGAAGTTCCATCTGAGAATTCTGATGGTGGGAGGAATGAAAGTATATCGAGGGTCAGGGAAGAGTCTGATAGTAGGTGTTATAATCACGAGGCAAACAGAATAGAGGGAATGGGAGTGGTTGAAGAGTTTACAAATTTGAATGGCATTCTTGCTTTCGAAGATTCAAGTTTAGGTATTGCGGGTTCTTTGTCTTCCCTGGTTAGAACTCCAGAAGAACATTGTTCCATTGTCGATGACGACATAAATGACATCGGACATATTACTAGATTGTCTACATCGACAGAGTTATCATGTGTTATATGCTGGACAGATTTCAGTTCAACTAGGGGGGTTCTACCATGTGGGCATCGATTTTGTTTTTCGTGCATCCAAAGCTGGGCTGATCATATGGTATATTTCTGTCTTTGTATTTTATATTTTCCCATCTTTCTGCTCACTGAAGCTTCATATTATTGGCAAAAGAATGCATGGTATTTATCTTCAGGTATCTTATTATGCGAGTCAACATTTTTATCAGCAACTTGTTTGTCGGAATTAGTGTATCCTAAAAAACCTTATGCTTTTAACTGTGACGGCCATTGTTTTATCACCCATGATTAGGGGTTGTGAACACTTTAATTCTATCTGCACATGATGAGCACTCCCTTAATTTAGAATCAACATTTTCATAGATATATATGCACCATCAACTTTAATGATATGAAATGCAGAGCAGAGGACATATCAATTTCCTGTTAATTTTAAATATGTTAAAATGTAATTTGACTTCTGAGTTTGCTAAGAGGACAATGCTCGATAGCGGACATTCAGATTGAAATCAGTGATAGATTACAATCTTTTGCTGTGACTGCGTTTTCAGCTTACATTTGAAATTCGAATTCAGAAAACTTCTAGATCATGAAGGGAAAGGTACAATGGAAGGAAGTTTGTTAATTTAAAGCTATGTGGCAAGGTGAAGGAATTGACCTTTTTGTTTTTTTCATATAACTACAGAAACCACCTCTAGTAAACATTCATGACTTGAGTTGTTTCAAGGTATTGTTTGAATGAAAGAAGCATGCCTTTAAATTGGTACTCATCACCCTACGTAAACAGCAATATAACAGAACAGAATGTTTTTGCATCCTTTGTTTTTATTTCATCGACTTGTATAGTACACCATTGAACAACACAACCTCAAACATTCTGGGTTTACTACGACAGCAAAAACAAATTTAGGTGTCAGAACGGATATAATTTTGATTCTGCTGTGGAATACCTAATTCTCATAATTGAATTGATGTTTGATAAAGTGTGGTATAGGTCTCTAACATTTGCTACCCTTCTCCATTTTTGAAGTGTTGCATGTGTAATCATAAGTAAGTTGTTTATGTTTTTTGCAGGCTTCAAGGCGAAAGATTTCGACATGTCCATTGTGCAAGGCCAGTTTTGCGAGAATTACAAAGGTTGATGATGCAGTCTCTTCTGATCAAAAAATATATTCGCAAACTATTCCGCATGACTCATTAAACATTGATGTATACCTTCTTCCCAATGGGGAATCCACTCTTGGTCCACAGGTATGTTTACATGCTGATTAAGTTACTTCAGGTATATTGTTGACATTATTTTTGAAAAAACCTGTCCATTTGTCCGTGGAAAGTATCTGTTGTTTTGGTGGTTCACATTACTAACTCTACTTTGTTTCATCTTTTGGGGGTATTATAGCAATCATTAGCACCAGTCTGCTGTCAGTGCTCTTGTCGGGAGCCTCAGGATCTTCTCATTAGATGCCATCTCTGCCAGAGTCGATGTGTTCATTCCTACTGCTTGGATCCTCCATTGTTTCCATGGATATGTGCTCATTGCAAGGATCTCCAAGTGCTTTACCATCATGTCCGCTGGTTTTAACTGACTAAATTATTCTTACTGGTATGTTAGCAATCTTAATTATTCGCTTGCATAGCATTCCTGTTCAAATAAAATGCTGATTGTATGGATTTGATCCATTTGACTCTCATATAAACTGAACTTGATATTGTCTTTTCACCTTGATCATTTTGGGAAAGTGACCACTACAATTTTAGCCAGTGTGTTTTGATCTTGTTTGTTCTCTCTCATTTAATCCAATGTTTAGAACCTTTGTATCACCGCTCTCCATAATTACTTTTCCGTGTTGGTTAAGTGGGTCCATTTTGTTATTTGTTAAATTTTCCATTAGTTAGGAACATGGGAGATTTTTTAAGCTTTGGTCCGTCCATCCAATGATCGGTTTATGAAACAAGGAGTTAAGCAAGAGCTAGGAGATTGATGAAACAACCTGGCCGAAGTCAGTGTTGTGTTCAACTCCACAGTTGAAAGGCCTTTTTTGCTGTCGTCTATCTTTTCTTTCTCTCTCTTCTCTTAGCAAAGTAGGCTCAAATCACACACTTTTTGGCTTGCTACAAGTTGGGCTTAGGATCTGTAGCCAGCCGCTTCCCCTGATACTCACAATCAATTCAATGACAGTGATTGATTAGGTCAGTATTTTAAATCAAGATTGTATTGCTCCTGTCAAAATTCGCAAGTAAATCTATGCTTTAGCATGTGTGGGAATGGTAATAAGCAAGTCTATGTTATATTCTGACCAAGCCCAGTAAGACCCATTTTAATTTATGTATTGATAAATATAACAATAATATAGCAATTTGTTTTACCAACAAGTACATGCGCGAATTTATTACGTCATTAAGGACACCTGACATGTAATATTTAGTCAGCAGATCCAATATATCTTTCTTTTTTATTTTTTTATTTTGACCTTGAGTTGGAAACGCAAATTTTATTGCTAAAATTGTGTCTGATTCATTGAATACTGGCTAAAAGGCTATCTAAAATAGATAATTCTATTTTTACTCCATAAATGTAGTTAGCTAGTAAATCGCTTGTTGGCGCCAATCTCTCCCTCCTCGCCTCCGCCTCCTTTTGATTGTATGCACTTGTCTCATCTTATAACTGTTGTAAATATGACTGTTTAAAAATTCAAATTTTAAAATTTTAAATTTCGTGACCGTTATAAATATGACCATTATTAATAAAAATTTAAAATTTAAAATTTTGATGACGTGGCGTAACACATTAGTATGTGATTTTATCAATATGGTGATGACATAATATACTAAATAGTATTTTAGATTTTATTATTGAAAGTTAATTGAATGATTAATTAAAATAGATAACGTTGTTGAGTGAGTTTGAAAAAATAATTAATTAAAATAAATAATATAATATTTAAATATATTTTGAATATCTATTTTAAATAACTCTTTTTGAGATGTTTTTAATGGCGTGCATTTGTGGCTGTGGGGGTGGGTGTGTCAGTGGCGCGTGTGTGTGTTTGTGGATGTGGTCCAGCTTTTGAGAGAAGTGTGGTGGGCGGGCGGGAAAAGGAATTGGATTGGGTGTTTGTGGAACGTCGGATCAATTTTGAGTTCATGTGGATTAATCTAAGCTGTCCTTATACTTTTTCAAACGAATTAAAAGTAAATTAAATTTTAAAATAAAAATAAATTTAAAATTGGTTCTATTTTATTAGTATAGATGCTTATCTTTAATGACCCAATAAGTTGGTGTACAGGCATATTGACTCAAAGCATTAAAACATTGTACCGGCCATCGAAAACCCCATCATTAAATACACATTAAGGAAGTCCTATTGAAAGATAAATACACATTATGTGACACCGGACTTACTCAACTTAGGTGAGTAGAGTAGAGAGTGAATTCAAACTGGACCAAATTGAAAGATACATAACCAATTTTTAAGTGAAGAAAATAGGAGTAAAAAGATTAAAAAAGGAAGAAGCGTAGCTGAACTTATAAAAATTTCTCATAAATGCCAACACTAATTACGATTAAAATTACACTTGTGTCGTGTGTATTGCAAATGGATGCAATTTTAAGTGTGTATAGTTATATTTATGTTGTATTTAAGTCGTAGGTCCTACAATTTGAATTTTTATTGTGTATTGTAAATTTGAGTCCATCCTTTAGTTAAGTGGGACCGGGTCTAGTAAGACAATTTAGTAGTTATAACTTGATTGACACACCTAATAACATTGTATTGATTTGGTACTGAGTGTGTTAAGAATTGTAGCCCAACTTGACATTATTTTTTTCAGTTATATTACATATGCGTAAAGATTCATAGCACCTTTATTAGGTAGAAGTAACTGATTTCCATGTCCAAAAGCAGGTTCATTAGGTGAAGCTGCTTAGATGTACATCAAATTTTAAAACTAACTCGTGAACTAAAATATGCAATGAATATATTTTTTGGACCTTCTTTTCTTGGTATTGCTGCGAGAGAGGTTCCGGACTAGTTTACGTGCACCTTAAATAATTTTTTCTCCGGTTCAGTCAAAGACATACCAACTACATCTGGATTAGAGAATTCACGAGCGATAAATTCTTCGTGGTTTGACTCAAAGGAGTTGTCTTTGCTCGACTACCCATGGGATTTGATTTTGTGGACTTCATTTTGTAAAGTAAAGTAATTCTATTTTACCTCAGTGTCAAGATACTCATGCCAAATAACATCCACATCGTCTCCAACTTTAAGCTCTCTGATCAGCCTCATACTGCTTCACCTTTTTTACCTTTCCATCCCAAACACCCAAGTTGTTGTCCCTTTTTTTTTTTTTTGGTGTGTTCCTCTTGTCTTTTTCTGTTTTTCCTGACTCATCATATTCAAATCCAAAGTATCAGGTCCGACCAATCCTTATAATGGAAAGATGACCACATTGAAGCCACTTTGAATGCATTATATGACCCTTCTTGTATGTAGCTTTTTATTTGTGAAGAAAATAGAACTCGGTCAATATAACAAATTAGATAGATTGTGTGGATGGATTATTACTTTATTAGGTTGGTAATAATCGATTAAACATGGAAAAATTTCAATCACATCCTTTCTAGTTTATCATATCTTTAAGGACACCCACTCTCTTATAAAAATAATCACTGACACCCCTCTTAGTTTATATTTAAACATCATTGACACTCCCTGCCATTAAATCATCATTTACTATAAAAATAAATTATTGAAATATCAAAATTGCGCCTACATAAACTCTAAATAATTTTTTTAATTAAAATCCATTTTTCTACATACTAAAATTCGAGTTGACTAAATTTTTTTTTTTTATATATATTAAAATTTCAGTCGATTAAAATTTGATTCGAGTTGATTAAATTTTATTTTTTTTACGTATTAAAATTCGAGTCTATTAAAAGTCTTTTATATACTAAAATTTGAGTCAATTTAGGATAGTTATTTGGGACACTTTGCAAAGGTGTTTTTGGCTAGTTATTTAGGATACTTTGTTGGATGTAATTTGTTTTGAACTGTTGTAGAATGTAAATTGTTGGAATATATTAGTTTTACTTAAAAAATCAAAAACTCATTGACTAAAGAAAGAGAGAGGGAAGGCTTCTCAAACACTCGTCATCAAATCTGATTCCTATAATATTATAGACGGATATATTGATTTCTATGGGAAATTCTTACATATTTTCAGTCCATAAAAGACTTTGAATCTCAAACTGAATTTACTCATGCCGAAAATAGAGCTAATTGATAGATGAGTTATTTGGCTTGTTCCTAGGTACATAAAAACCATCAGAAGTTACTCACATCTTCATGCCTGTTTTTTTTTTCCTGTTTAGTGGTATAGATTGTTCGAGACAATTTACGTGTATTTCGACTAATTCTCTCATTGGTCTGGTCAAAGACAGACTATCTACACTAGTACTAGGATATTTATGAGGAATTATTGACCTTAATGGATTACCAAGTTTTGAATTTAAAATGTCTAAATATACACCCGTATCTATTATCGCTTTATACACCCCTTCGGAATTTTCATCGACTTACAAAAAAGAACATTTTTTTCTCACCACTGCAAAGACATCGGAAAAACATACACCATACATTTCGGAATTCTGATTTAACAGCTTCATATGAGAGAGAGAGAGAGAGAGAGATGACCCTTTAACAAGTGTTGGAAGCCATGGTGGTGGAACATGAACATACCCAATAAACATTATATTTCAGAGTGTAGAAAAAAAACTCAGAAAGCATAACTTTTGGTCTTCGGGGAGTCTGCAATTTTGAGAGTCTCTTCGATCAGCTTCTGAGCCTTCCTGCTTCTTATTTCTACTCTCATGCTCTCACTCTTTTCGATCTTGTCGTAAGGTTTCTTCGTTCTCAGAGTCAGAGTCCTCAATTTAGACTTCAGAGTTACCACCAACCTTTCGAAACCCATCATCACCATAGTTATACCTGTCAAGTATCAACAGAAAGAAGTTTAGAACTCGGAATAAGCAGCAAAAATAGAAATTAAACTAAAAGAAAAGAGGAAACTAAAAAGGAAGACGTTAAACTTCAAAGAAGAGGAAGCTGAGAATTATGACTGAGAAGATAGGGTTGTACCTAGAAGTCTAGAAGAAGTATGGAGGGATAGGAAGCAGGAAAAAGTCCGTCTGAAACAAGAAGGAACTTAGATTGATGGACCTTGTGTGTGTGAGAGAGAGAGAGAACGGGGGGGGGGGGGGGGGGGGGGCAAGTATGAGAGATATTACGAATGAACAACGGTTGGATGTCACGATGAAGGCATTAAGAGCTTGGAAGGCAGACCACGCAATAGTTGAGAGTAAAATTTTTGACTACTCAATTGGAAGTGCCATATCTGTGGTGTGTATATGTGTGGTGTGTGTGTATATCTATAGGGTTCTTGTATATTCTATTGAAGATTATAACTAAATCAGAACAAAACACGTCAAAAATAAGAACTAATGTCTGAATGAAATATGATGATGCACAAATTAATCTTGTGCAATATCAACAGTCAAGAATATGAATAGAAACAATCAACG